AGCTTTGGCGTTTCCTTCCACGGAATGAAACGGCAGCACCGAGAAGGGGTGTGCGGGAGCTGTTCTCAGGAAAGACACGCTCTGGTTACGTGGCATGGTTGATCCATGCAGAATGAAGAATCTCCCTCTCTACTGCAAGAAAGTGGCATTGTTGAAGGGTTGCGCTGACTCCGTGAGTTTCTGTTACATTATTTAAAAGGAAAAATAAAGATAGCTCCTTTGTGGTGCTTCCGTAGGCAGATCCGCTTAAAAGGCATAATAAGGTTAATTGGTAAAAAGAAAGCAAGGACAGTTAATAAAAGATGAACGGGTAAGTCCAGAAGCCACACCAGGAGCCCCGCCCTTGCCGTGCGAACCTTCCGTCCGCAGCAATTGACATTTGAGGTGCTGCGATCTCAAGGAAGCTCATTTAATATTCACAAAGGAAGCCACATGGGCGAAGCCGGTTAACTCTAAGAACAGAGGCTAAACTGTGCGAGCCCCTTCACCCGACACAGTTAGGCTCTGAGCTATATGTCAAATTACCATAAGCAGCACCAGTCCTGTGGGTCCCTCCTGCGAGGCTCCCCAACCAGCTCCACAAGCCTGCTCGGCTGCTGCTTGTAATGAATTAAAGATATGTCACAAGTTATCCTTAGGATTGTATAATTCCAGCTTTGCATTTGCAAATGAGTTCAGTCTGGGAGCTGGGGAGATATCCCAATGATTAGAACGCTTGCCACACAGGCGTGAAGCCTAAGTTGGATCCCAGCACCCATATAAAGTAAATTAACTATATGATGTGCATATATACATAATACACATATATATCATACACACATACATATACATGTGCATGTACATGTACATATACAAACCCAGGCACGGAGGCATGGACTTGCAATCCCAGCACTGAGATGGAGATAGGTAGATAGATCCAGGAGCTCACAGGCTAGACAGCCTAGCTTACCCAGCAAGCTCCAAACCAATTAGAGACTCTATTTAAAAAAAAAACAAACTAAGGTGGTCAATGTCTGAGGAATGACACCCAAAGACCACCTCTGACCAAAGTCAGAGTAGACCAAAGTAGACATACACAGAGTTCAGAAGAGCTCTCTACTAGATCCTGGGGTGGGGGGCGGATCTATAAAAGAACCCTCTGTACAACCCAAATTGGGGTAGGTAGTTAAAGACATTGATTCCTCACAGGAGTCAAGACACGTGACCAAAGTATTTAGAACCACACTGTGTTGCTTTGATCCTCTTGGCCTACTGGTTTATAATATTCCATTTTTGCAGTCAGTGAATAGGACAATGTCTAATACAAGAGATTTATCAAATTACATTTTATTGAAGGCTATGTGTAGGAGGAGCTAAGGTGGGAAGAGTTAGGAGAGGAAGAGGTGGAGTAAGGAGGAGAGGAGAAAAAGGAAGAGGAGGAGCTAGGAGAGAGGAGAAGAGAATGACAGAGAGGAGATGGAGGCAGATGTTCATGTGTCTGTAGCAGTTAAAGGTAGTTGGTATATCTAGGTTGGGTATTGGGTTACACTTCTGATTGTATGGGTATCATGTTACTGATCATTACCAAATATATAAGCCTCTGATTAATCTATAAGAATTAGAGTCTCATTCTCTTACCGGGCCCGCATGGATGGTGGAATGGTCTGGGCAATGCCCTGCCTTGTAGAGACAGCGTGGAAGATTGGCAGAGCCATCTCTCACGCTGGCATCTAGTAGGTGGCAGGGCTGGTGTTTCTGGCGGGCCGGTTCTAGCTACAGCATGCATGTGGTCTCAGGCCAAGAAACATGGCAGCTGGGCTAGGCAGAGCGGCAGCTTAGATAGCTGAACCAGAGGCCAGTTTTAAATAATTACAACAGCTACGTGTAATATGCCTGCTGTGCCCAATGAGACCAGAAGAGGGTGCCTGATCCCCTGGAACTGGAGTTACAGGACATTGTCTACTGCCTAATGTGGGTTCCTAGAAAACCAATCTCTGGTTCTCAGCAAGAGCAGCAAGTGCCCAACCAGTGTCCATCTCTGCAGCCCCACGGTAGCCTTAGTTACCATGACAGGAGGAAAGAACAGGTAGATCGCCCGCATCTCTTAACAGTCACAGCAGAGCTCCTATTTGAATGTGGCACTAGTGACAACCGTGGTAGCTTTCTTGGGGCAAAGCAGGGGTCATGGGCAGAAGGAAACTTTGCTGTTGCTTTGGCACTGTGGAGGGGCCTCTTCTAGCTGAGCATCTCATCCGTTCCTCTAGGCTGGATGGCCAATGAGCTTCAGGGATCTGCCTTTCTCTACATCTCCATCAGTGGGGTTAGCAACATAGCCTTCGATGCTCAGCTTTTATGTGAGTCCTGGGGATACAGACTCTGGTCCTCATGCTTACATGGCCAGCTGAACTATCTCCCTATCAAGTATAATTCTTAAAATGTGTATTTTGTTGGAAAAATATATCAAATGTGCTTTTCTCAGAAAAAGAATGTGGCTGGGCCATGGTGGAGCACACCTTTGGCTTGGGGGTGGGAGGCAGAGGCCCAGGCCAGCCTGGTCTACAGAGTGAGTTCCAGGACAGCCAAAGCTACACAGAGAAACCCTGTCTCAAATAAAGACACACATAAACACACACACACACACACACACACACAGAGAGAGAGAGAGAGAGAGAGAGAGAGAGAGAGAGAGAGAGAGAGAGAGAGAGAGAGAGGGAGAAACAGAAAAACGATGTGAACTACTTCCAGTGTGGTTTCTCCCTGAAGCACTAAGCATTCTGAATTACTGGGGAGGCTGTGGAGGAAGATGGCTCAGATCGTAAAGCACTTGCTGCCCAAGCATGAGGTTCTGAGTTTGAATCTCCAATACTCACATAAAAGCTGGGCACAGCCTCACAAGTTTCTAAAGCCCCAGCATTGGTGGGTAGAAACTGGTGGGTCCCAGGATCCCAGCATTGGTGGGTGGAAACCAGTGGATTCCAGGATCCCAGGTGCAGCTGGCCAGCCATCTTAGTCAAAACAGCAAGCTTTAGGCTCAGTGAGAGACACTGTCTCAGGGGGATAAAGCAGAGAGCAGTAGAGAAGGATACCCACCTTTGGCTTCTACAAGCACCCAAGTGTGTTGCATATGCACACAAATAAACATACATGCATGTATGCATACATACATACATACGTACATACATATATACATAACCTTTTTGAATTAAGACTGATGGGCTGCAGAGATGCCTCAGCATTTGGGAGTGCTCGCTGTTCTTGCAAAGGATCTGAGTTTGGTTCCAGGTGCCCACATCAGGTTGCTCACAAAAGCAGGAGCAGCTGCCATTTTAGAGATCCCTAGCCTGTAACAAATGTGTTAATTTACATAAAAATAAAGAAATGACAGACAAGTCTAATCAACAGAATGGCTGGGTCACCTTTCCTATTTATCACGACCTTCTGAAAGGGCCATCCTGTGCTCAGGGAGCCTGCAGTGTGCTCAACCAGGCCAGTCTCACACTGCAGTGAATTATAACTTGCACATAAGCAACTCTAGAGTCAATAGCCGGAGTTGAATCAAGGTTCCTGAGACAAACAGGGCGAGACAAAACTGTCTGTCAAAGTCAGGGATGAGGGTACTCAGAATTCTGGGATGTCCCATTGGGAACATATCCCTTTTTAAAAAGATGAATCTTCCCTTAGAATTCACCCCAGTGTCCTATAGACCTAAACATCCTCAAATTCCTAATTAAAAGCCTCCAGGCCATGGTACCCCCACCTCTTCCCCTATTGCCCAAGCTCTTCTACTGGGCTCTCAGAACAATCAAGATTTTCTTATGGAAGCCCTCCCTTGTTGAAGGCTGTTACTTGCTCATTTTCGAGGCAGGGTCTCACATAGCCCAGGCTGGCCTCAAACTCTCTGTGTAGCTGAGGGGAGAGGACCTGAGCTTCTGATGCTTATGGCTCTACCTCCCCAGTGCTGGGGCCTTAGGTATGTGCTCCCTCTCCTGGCTTCACCTGGTACTGGAGAGCAAATCCAGAGCTTCCTGCATAGAATACCAGGCAAGTATTTTACCAGCCGGACTGTGCCCTGGCCCCTGGGTCTAAGTCTGATTTATCAGCTCCTAAGAAGGATCTGTGTCTGTTCAACTTCTTATCATTGGTCCTTCCTTTAATCTTCATAACTTCTTTAATATGGGACCTAGAAGCAAACCCATTATTTCCCTAAAAGTTTAATGAGAGCACCTTACAAGGGGAGAGAAATCCTGTTTGGATCTCTCAGCTCTCCTTTTTTCAAAAACTTCACTTAAGACAGATGATAGGGTGCTGGAGAGATGGCTCAGTGGTTAAAAGCACTGACTGCTCTTCCAGAGGCCCTGAGTTCAATTCCCAGCAACCACATGGTGGCTCACAACCATCTGTAATGAGATCTGATGCTCTCTTCTGGTGTGTCTGAAGACAGAGCACTCATATATATAAAATAAATATTTTCAAAAAGACAACTACAGACATCCATTGTGGCATCAATTATCAGGGTGAACCGAAGTTAAATTTATTTTTCATTTATTTTCTTTTTCATTCAGTTATAGGAAAAAAGTTTGAAGACAGTGACCTAAAGAGTACTCCTACCAGATTTGAGTTAACCATCTTTTCATAGTTAGCATAAATTTAGTAAGTACTGTGCTTCCTGAGTAGCCACGGAGAGAAACCCAGAGGTGTCCCGTGGTAGGCCAGAAGGAAGATATTCTCACAATGTTGATGCCTTTGGCCCTTTGAGTAAACCTTAGGCTTCCAAGTTCTACTTCTGACCACTAGGTGGCACCAGAACTCTGAAATAGTGAAACAGAAAAGCCAGCGATTTGCTGTGAACCTTAAATCAACACCCTCTAAAAACCACTCTTTTTTCTTAGCAGTGGTCTAGATTGTGGTGGCTTTGCCATCTTCCCATAATTTGTGCACTGGTGACGAGCAGGCGAAGAAGCCTTTGTGACTGCTCTTTATACACCCGCTCGCGCCCGGTGGGCTCCGCGCTGGCCGCGGATCTAGCAGCTTTGCCGTTTGCCACAGCAGCCTCCAGCGCCTTCTGGGGCACGTCTGGGCTTCATCTTGTCAGATTTCTCTGCAAGCTTGGATGGATCTCTGATTATAACCTATCAAAAGACAAACCAGAACAAGAGTACAGAGGGTTTTTGAAGCACCCAAACGTTGGTATTTCTGTTTGATTTGGGCTGATTTACCAAGGAAGGAAATAAAACATTACAGTCCTATCCAGCCCTTGAAGCCGGGTCACTCTAGGATACAAACGACCTTTTAAGGTAAGCCCCTTGTCACATGAATCTAACCCCCCGCTGCAGCAATGTAAAGGTGGAGGCAGAAGGATCTGGACTTAAGGTAGTCTTTGACTGCATGGTAACTTGGAGGCCAGCCTGGGCTACAAGCTAAGGAACAAAAGATGGCCCTATGTTTTGGAAGATCTAATCAGATTATCACTCTCCCAGTGTAACCTTTACTTTGCCCAAGAAAGGGGGAACTAATTTTCGTTTGTTTTAGAGACAGGGTTCCATGTAGCCCAGGCTGGTCTCCAATTCACTATGATACTAAGAGAGTGTTGAGGATATATATGTGTGTGTGTGTGTGTGTGTGTGTGTGTGTGTATATGTATGTGGATATGTACATACATACATACATACATACATACATATATACATATAAAACCACCCCCCCACACCCACCCCAATTTATACTGTGCTGTGGACTAAACCTGGGCTCTGTGCATATAGGCGAGAACTTTACCTGCTAAACTAGACCTCCAGCCCAAAGGTGGCTTTTATTGTTGTTCTGCGATAGTCTTACACTAGGTTGGCCTGGAACTCTTGGTGATCCTCCTGCCTCAGCTTCTTAAGTGCTGAAGCTACCATAGCCTGCTTAAAAGTAGCTTCTGATGGGCTGGGGGAGTTGATTTCACCCAATTGATTCTGTCCCATGAGATTCTCATGAGCAAGTGCCTTTTACCTTTGGAACGAAAATCCTGAAATGCTATGCCTTATCCTCCAGAAGTATGTGCAGAAGACGTAAAGTCTGGTGATGTCCAGATTAGAGATGCACCCTGACCTTGGTGCAGAGTACATTCGCTCAGGAGAAACAGCTGTCTTCAGTTTTCCTCCTTTTACCTCTAACTGAGCTGCTTCTTACAGTGGCATCGGTGGACCAGGGGCCAATTGGGGCCAGAGACAGGAAACCCAGGGCATGAAAGTGTCACCTTAAAGGTGAGATACACTATTAAGTGGACATCCTACTATCACTGACGGACATCCCAACAAGAGCCTGTAAAGCCACTGTATTCAAGAGACTGACAGCCTCCTTTGAATGGTGGCCATGTTCTTACTAGCCTCAGTCCCTACCTTTCTTCTTTGTTAAGAGATTTATTTTTATTTTACATGGGCGTTTTTCTTGAATGAAGGTCTGGGTGCCAAAGTTGTGCAGTCCCTGTGGAGGCAGGAAGAGGAAGCTGAATCCCCCAGAACTGGAGCTACAGATGGTTATAACAGCCATGTGGGTGCTGGGAACCAAACCTGGGTCCTCTGCAAGAGAAGCAAGTCCTCTGAACTACGGAGCTATCTGTCCAGCCCATGTCCACCTTCCTAACGCCAAAAGGTCACCCTGGACCTGGACTCTTGGTCAAGCAGACTAGAACCTGTGTTCGATGACACCGTCGCTCTAGAAGATGACTCAGTGGATACTCACTGCACAAGCATGAGGGCCTGAGTTCAGGTATCAGCATCTACATCAAAAGTCAGACATGCTTGCACATCCAGCGCTGAGGATGATAGAGACAGGAGACACCCTGGAGCTCACTGGTCATCCATCCTAGCCGAAACGGTGAGCTGCAAGTTCGAGGTGTGACCCTAAATAAATAAATAAATAAATAATATAGGGTTGGAGCTGTAGAGCTGACTTAGTGGTTAAGAGTACTGGCTGCTATTCCAGAGGACCAGGGTTCAATTCCCAGCACCCACATAGCAGCTCGCAACTATCTGTAACTTCAAGACTTGACCTCACACAAACATACATGCAGACAAAACACCAATGCACGTAAAATAAAAAATTTTAAAAATAGGATGGAGAGTGACAGAAGTAGACACTAGACATTTACCTGCGATCTCTGCACGTGCACACAAAGGCATGTGCACCTGTGTGTGCACACACATACACGCTCACATGTCAAATGTACATTTCTACTCCTGAAGGACCAGGATGAGATGGAAGGGGGGAGCCTGAACAAGCATCCTTTGCAGGGTGCATCCTGCTGCTTAATGTCCACTCCAGAAGGAGGCATGAGCTCTCATCCACTGTCTAGCCATCTCCCTGCGCCTCAGCTTTTTCACCTATAGGTTTGAGTATCACTAAGGTCACTGTGAGGACCACACAGCATCTTGAACAAATGACTGCCCCATAAAACTCAGCAACTCTAAATTATTCCACCTGTCACTCAGGTCCTCGCCACCATTACTATTGACTGCAGCAAGACATCCCTGGGTGCCCGCCCCACTTGTATCACTTCTGATGCTGACTTGATTTAATACAGGGTCTTCTGTACTCCAGGCTGGCCTTGAACACGTAGCAGAGAACATGTAGCCTTGGACTCCTGATCCTCCTGCCTCCATCTCTCTCTCTCCAGGTGCATGCCCTCATACCTAACAACAATGTAACTCCTGCCGTAGCAAAACTTGGCTTGTCAGGATTAAAAAGAAGACAAAGAGGGCTAGGGGCATAGCTCAACAGGAGTGTGCTTACCTTGTATGCACAACATCATGAGTTCAGTCCCCAGAAATAGGGGTGGGGGAGAAGTCGATGGGGAGAAGGAGGGGGGGAGGGGGGGAGGGGGAGGGGGAGGGGGAGGAGGAGGGGGAGGAGGAGGAGGAGGAAACAGAAGAAGAAGAAAAAGGAGGGGGGAGATGAAGGTCTCAAGTCGTTCAAAAGCCAACTTGCATCAAATTGGCAACATCCACCCTCCATGGTGGCAGCTGACTGAGAACAAACGCACACCATCGCCTGTACTCTCTGCACACCAGGGATTATCACCAAATCCTTCCATAGAAATGATAAGGGTCTCTAGAAATGATAAGGGTCTCTGCCTCCAGAACGCCAGGCTGTGTTTCTAGGTCACACAGCTGTTTTCTCCTGATGCCTAGCTGGCTGCAAACAAAACTCCAAGAACTACGACTTGAAAAGATAGTGTGTCTCTACCTCTCTCTCAGCCTCTAACCTTAGTTCAAAAGTGGAGAAACAAGAAATCAAGTGTATCTCTCTTGCTTGCTGCTGGGTGGGCTGCAAGCAAAGAGTGGGATACGAAAGCATTCCAAGGTGTGTTATCTCACAGTTAAGAGTGGGATGCAGAAGGTTAGGACACTGGGAAAAGAGGTTGAGAGAGAAACTGAGACTGCTGGTGGAGGTTGGGGACTCTTTGCCTATGAGTTTTGCTTTTTCCTTGACCTTATAGGAGCCAAGATTCCAGGGGGGAGGCACAGCATGTGCCAGTGAGGGAGGACTGTCCGCTCCCGGGATACTGTTTGGCACAGAATCTGTGGATCCTGCAGGCACTGCCACGCTGACTCTGATACTTCAGAGCCTGGAACACGGAGGGATTGGCATTCCTCTAGTGGGAAATAACGCTGAGAAAATGAGGAATCGTGCCAACGCACCTAGCCCTTAGGCAGCACCTGTACAGTGCCCTCCACAACCAAAGAAATCATTGTACTACAGACTGGATCACTATGAGCACGAGAGAGACATGACAGAATGGGGGTTGCAGGTTGCCTACCAGGACAAAAGCACCCTGAAAAACGCTGAGGAAGTCCAGGATGCTTGTAGGAGCTGAGTAGCCTCAAACCACCTACACCCAGTGTCTCAGGGACCCAGTGAAGACAGTTCCACAGGCAGAATAGAAAACAAGCTGTCAAAAAAACCACAATCCTTGAAAATAGCATGGTTCTTGTTCTCCTCATTTGACAGGATGTTTCTGATATGGGTCAGGCTATTATTGCCAACTTGGGACAGATTGAAGATAGCCCAGACAGAGGGTGATTTGTCACCAAGTCTGATAGGGAAGCGGAGCAAATCGAAGTGACAGAGATAAGAAATGGAAGTTGAGTTAAGATAACAAGAAAGCTCTGTGAAGAGACAGACACAAGCTGCTGGCGTCTTGCAAGGCTTTGAGAAGGACTTTGAGCCGGAAGAAGAGGAAGGGCATTTCTCAGGAAGGCTGGAAGTTCTATGACCTAGCATTAATGGCAAAGCAAGATGGATATGCCTTGAAGCAAGGGTTATAGAAGGCAAACCAGGCCTTCTGCTTAATTAGTTCTCAAAGACAGTCTTTAAGGCAACCCAGACTATTCTCTAGGGTTTGGACATACCGAAGTTTATAGGGCAACGCCATCAGAGTAGTCAGTAACGCACTGACTTCTGTGAGGCTCCCAATCCTGCGGGTACTAAGGGGTGGCTGTGTTATTAGGAAAGGCTCTTGTGGGGAGCCTGGTATCAAGATTCAGGGAGCTAAGGTGATAAGGTGAGGAAACAAATGGGACCCCGTTCTCCCCTCTGCTCCTAGATGGAGAGCAGTAGAAGACAAACCTGACATGCTGAGAGCAGAGAGCCAACAAAGGTGTCAAGAGGCTGGGACCACACTACCTGGCCCACACTGCCTCCAATGAGGCACATATAAACTGGAGAATGGCGGTGGATTATAGGGCGCTAAGTACGGTAAGATCTAGTGTCCGTGCTGAGGTGCCTACATTACCCAGGGATCAGGAAAACAGGCACGTCCTCCTTTAGCTCTGTGCTCTTTCTGTCCTCAGCAATCCTGCGACACTAGACTCCTGAGACCATCCACCTTGCCTTCGTTTGATTCTTTCTCAGGAATACCTGCTCAGTCTCTACCTGTCACCGAGCGGTGACTTCAGGCGCCATTCTAAGCTGATATTATCTGCTCTCATTCTCGTAATAATAACCTGGGAAAAGAGGAAGGTTATAGCCTCAGAACACAGGACAATGAAGGTGCTAGCTCCTCTGACAGAAGAGATAGGTCATCAACTCCAGCAAGATCCAAGGCTCCAGGCCACCCATGAGATTCCTAGGAGTGGCCAGATCAGAT